AATTGCAAGGTATACCCATCACTTTAGCAGCTTTTACGTTTTCTTTAAATCCAACATATTCTTCTCCTTTTAGTCTTTTTGCCTTTGCAATGTTTGTTTTCCATAACTTAGGGTTTGATTTTCGTTTCCTTGTCGTTTTTCTCCTATTTTGAGAATCAATCTCTTCTTGTTCTGTATCGTTACCAGAAACTGGGCCATCATTTTTATGTTCAATTTTTTCTGTCCCTTCTTCACTGTCATTTTCTGTATCATTGGCTAAATCTAAGGTTGGATCGTAACTTAGATCATTCATATCTAAATCATTAGTATCACCTAAAAAAAAATTAGTTTAGTTCTCTAGTGCATAGATACAAGGTTTACTAAGCTCATCTTACCTTTAGAACTTCGCATGGTGTTCACATCTCCATCATCATTTCCATGTAAAACCTGCAATCTATTAGTTTCTCCCAGAGATTCACCTGCATGAATCATACCATTACCAACATACGTATTAGGAGTGATAAGATTTATATCTTCTGTAACTAAAATAATACAAATATATAAGTTTTAAGTGGACATACAAAATGAAAATGTAAATTTTACCACTACTGGGTACCTCTTGTTCTAGATTATTTAGAGAAATTTCAGCATTACTTGCGGAATAAACAACTTCACTGATGTTCTCTAAAATCAAAGCATTTTTTCGTAGTATAGAGTAAAATCAATTTAAAAACTAAATCTTACCTATAGGAGTTCCATGTGATTCTAATATAACATTAGGAGCAACAAAAGAATCCGCAAACTTACATTCTAGTTGTATGTTTTCATTATTTGCTGCAAGGAAAGAATTTGGAATAGTACATCATTACTAATCATATTATATGTGTATCTTTATAATGCAGGTATGTACTTACAAAGATAAGTTAAATTTTCTTTATCATCTTCTTGATTAGTGCACTGTTTTGCCAATAGTAATATTTTCTTTCCCCTATTCATCTGTATAAATAAGTATTTCACAATAAAGAATACTCTATAAACGCCAAAGAAACAAGGCACACTAATATATTAATTGAGGTTAGGTTTTGAGAATGTCAGTTGGACTACCGCCTTTTTCAAACTGCACGTGCTGAAGCATAATAATCTTATGTCCATTATATTGCAAGAAAGGGCGGGTGTCCCATATACGACCTTTTTACGTAAAAAGGAGTATTTACTTACGCCTTTTTGTTTTGCAAAAGTTAAAAACCGTAAAAGATATGGACATCTGACTTTTTTTAAATGAAACTATCTCATATGCTTACTATAGAAATGATATGAACCTAAAATACAGAAAAATGGACATCCGCCCTTTTTATTCCAAGCCACAGAATTACAAATGTGCATCCAACGTTTCTGATTTTTTAAGGAGAAAAGTTGAAAAACGCGCCTTTTGGTAAGAATTTTTTTGTCCTAAACATCAAGTAACATGTGCTTAAAAACCTGGTTTTTGGATTTCATTATTTTGTACAAGGAATCTTTAGATATTGTAGTTTTGATTGACAAATACAATTCTAAGCTAAAAACTATAAATATTTTTTATGGAACTAATTAATCTATTTCTGTACCAAGGGTAGCGTTCCACCACCAAAAACTGGGGATCATTCGACCACTGGTCGAATACTCCCCAGCCGTTTTAAAATATTATTTCCTTTGGTTAAAATATTATGTTTTTTATTTATGTGGAAGGTAAACAAAGAGTGAAGGGGAGTGAGAAAAGGACTAATAAATTTGGGGAAAGAATAATGAAATTAACTTTAACTCGCGAACTAAATTAGCTAATAAAACGAATTTTTTGGAATTTTATTCAAAATATGGTCTTTTTTAATAAATCACTGTTTATTGTGTAATAAATTTTAACAAACTCCATATTTTTACTTGCTGTATTTTTTTAGATATGCCTCGAAAACGAGTACTAAAAACCAACAGAAACCAAATAGACGAAAATGCCATTAAACAAACAATTATAGACTGTTTTACCGGAACTTCTTCAGAAAAGAAGGCTGCCGAATTCATGGAATAAATAGGTCAACACTTAAAAGTAGGGTGAAAAAGATATTACGGAAGAAAACTAGAGAAGAGTGTTTGCGGCAGAATATGCAAAATCCGGATGACTCTGAGAATGAAAGTGACAGTGACAGAAATTCACCAGAATTTTCAAGCAAATATACAAATAGGCAGGTATTTACGGTGGAGCACGAAGCTGAATTGGAAGCACATTTCAAGAGATGCTCTGACCTTAACTACGGACTAACTTATACTCACATCCAAAAATTAGCTTATGATTACGCCTCCGAATTGCCTAGTTGCAAAATTCCGCAAGAGTGGCACCAGGAAAAAAAGGCAAAAGATGGATGGCGACGAGGATTTATAAGACGCCGCCCAACATTTTCCTTAAGGAAACCAGAAAGCACCAGTCTAAGCAGAAGCATCGCTTTTAATAAATAAACAAGGTTGACCAATTTTTTGCAAATCTTCAAAAAGTGTTGGAGCGCTACAAATTTCGTCCAGAAAGAATTTATAATCTTGATGAGACCGGAATTACCACTGTCATGAAGCAAGTGAAAATTGACTCCCTCAAAAGCAAAAAACAAGTCTCTTAAGCTGCTTCAGCTGAAGGGGGTGAATTGGTGACATTTGTGGGCATTGTAAGTGCTTCTGGTCAAAGCCTGCCTCCCGTTTATGTATTCCCAAGGATTAGAAATGTGGAAGACTTTATAGTTAACGCGCCAGTGTCAAGTTTGGCATAGGGAAACAAATCCGGTTGGATGACTGCAGAGTTATTTTCCTCTAGTAAAATTTTGCAAAGAGAGTGGGATTGTTCTATTAAGTTTTGCACCCCATACGACTCATAGAATGCAACCCCTAGATATTGGGGTCTATGGGTATTTTAAAAATTTTTTGTAGCATTGCTTTTAATGATTGGATGGGATCAAATCCAGGAAAAACCATAACAATAAAAAATATACCAGAATTGACACACCGAGCATATGCAAGAACTTTTACAAATGAAAATATTGTGAGTAGTGTTAAAAAGCCTGGAGTTTGGCTATTTAACAGACTATCTTTTAGCGATGACGATTTTGCCCCTAGTTATGTAACAGACAAACCTTTCCATCCCTCAGTAAATCCACACAATCAAAATAATATGGTGGAAGGTGAGGTGAATCTCGAATATAATGATATAGAACATGAAGTCATTCGTAGAAAAACAGAAGATCGTGTTGAAAGAGATAGATCGAAAATGACAAAATAGAAGAAGATCACAAAAATCTTACAACTGAATCAAAAAAGGTAAAGAACACGATTAATATTACACATAATATAAGAACTATGCCAACACAATCCTGCAGTAAGCTTAAGAATCAAGTAAAAATCACACCAGAATCAATTAGACCATTTCCAAAAGCCATAAGAAAAGATAATAAAAGTAAGCGAACGCCAGGTATTTCAAGAATTTATACTGATACTTCTGAAAAATAAAGATTGGAAAATATTGTACTTACAAGAAAAGAAAAGTAAAAAAAGAGGTGTTAAGAGAAATGTGTTTAAGAATAACATGCAGGCAAAAGAAACAAACTCCCCAAAAAGAAAGTAAAAATGGAAAACTATTCATCATCAACCGAAAATGATGCGTTATCTCTTCATGACGATTCAGGTGAAGATTTGAGTGATGAATTTGATGAAATTGAGGAAGTTGATCAACAAGATCTTAAAAAATAAGATTTTGTTTTAGTAACATTCATGGCTAAATCCAAACTAATTCATTTTTTGGGGCAAATTTTGGAAATTTCAGAAGAGGCAACAAATATTAAATTTTTGAAAAGGAAGGGTCACTCAACTACTTACTTTTTATTTCCCACAAATTGAAGACATAAGCAAAGTGAACAATGGAAACATTATCAGCAAATTGAAAACTCTAACAAAAACTGGAACGACAAAAACAGCTTCATATTTCAAGTTTAGTTACAATTTTAGCGCCTTAATTGTTAACTGATTTTGTTTAGGTAGGTCATTAATATTATTTTTCACTGCTTTGCGTTTTACTCTTGATATTTTTTTCTAAAATAAAGTACTTTTTCAAAACTTTCTTTTTATTCCTTTAAATATCCTTTTTTAACATAATCGAATGCTCCCCTCCACCTGGTCGAATGCTCCCTAGGGGTGGGCAGCATAAGCATTCGACCATTTGTAAAGTTAAAAAATTTTTTTTTGCTGTTAAATGGTTTTATTTATTCTTTAATTTCAGGTTAATTATTTGAACAAAACTTTTATCTACCCATTAATGCTCTTTTATTTTAAAAATATGCATTTAACAAATTTTTATATACAAAAAACGTTTTTGCGGTCAAAAGCTCCCCTCCTTCCCCTACCTACTCGAATGCGAACATACTGTTCGCTGTATGTAGTTGAGATATTTCAAAAACTTGAATCGCGTTTTTGAACAATTAACTACTGTCTAATTGGTCTTTACCAAAGCCATCTAATAAAAAAAACCATTAACTACTTGTGATTTGTTAATAATTACTTAATTTTCTCTAACTTCGAATTATTTATGAAAAATATTTACACCTCAAATTCTTACTTATTCTATGTATAAATTCAATTTAACATTTCTGAAATAAAAACAGTAAGTAGATGACTTTACAGAAGTATTTCTTTAAGTCCAGTGTACATTACGTTATCAACTTACAGATGGCGCAACGCTCAGTTTCGTCAAATGTTGGTAAAAATTTTGTGTTGAGAGTGATTTTACCGACCATGCAGAAAATCATTTTTATAACGTTTTGCCGCTTCTGGGGTGAAGTTATTTGATGATTTATCAAAACTTTCATCCAAAACCAGTATACAAACTTTTGTTGTTTAATGGATAGTGGCAACATTGTATCCTGTTTTGGAACAAATTAAAGTGAGATTGTATGAATTTGACATTATAGGTATCCATTGGTTTACACTATCTTAAATGTCCAAGTACAGTGCAATGTGATCACGTAATGGCGGGTAAGGCGTTAAAGTGGAAATTAGTGGCGGATCCCACTGGACCTCATCCTCGCCCAAGACATGGACATCGTGCAATTAATATAAAAGACTTAATGGTTGTTTTTGGCGGTGGAAATGAAGGGATTGTTGATGAGCTTCATGTTTTTAACACAGGTAATGAGTTGAAAGTTTACGAGCTTCTTAAAAGTAAATATGGCGCGCGTTCTGTTATTAACTTTTGTTTACATTTTATCTCCGTGTACATCAATTTATATAATTGTACTTTGTCATGTACCAGATAAATCTGTAATGTTGAGAAAAAGTATATAAATATAATCTATCATTCAAATGTCACTTGCATTGAAGTTTTGTTTGGTCCAGAAGTCAATATGGCCGCGTGGGTATACATAATAAAATGTAATGATAAAAACACTATATCTTTTTAATAGTTTATTGAATAAAAATAGCTTATCATAGCATAGCTTTCGAATGTTATTAGAAAACCTCATTTTTGCCAACTGTTTACATCTGAGTTTATATTTTATTTATATAAATTTTCATCCCCATTATATTTTGAATTCCTTATTATGTTTTACACACTATTACATTGTGACAAGACATCTACAACAAACCAACTAACATGTTCTATTTAAAATTAAGAAAATGTAAGGTCACCTTCTCCAAATAAATTGGATGTCATATAATCTAAAATGAAATAATAGTGTTGGGAAAAGAAGGTAACAGCTATAAAGGTATCTATAAATCATGAATAATTTTACATCTTGATGGTATTTTTTCTATAATCTTCATTTTTTTGTTGTAATTTTATCTGTAAAGTATCTGACTTAAAACATGAAAAGATACTAAAAAAATTTTTTTGTAGCAACAAATCAGTGGTTTGTACCAGTTACTAAAGGTGATGTACCTCCAGGATGTGCTGCTTTTGGTTTTGTAGTAGATGGAACAAAGCTACTAGTTTTTGGAGGTATGGTAGAGTATGGGAAATACAGCAATGAACTTTACGAATTACAGGTAATTTTTATTTTATTTTTATTTATTTAATACACAGGATAACCCCATTAACAGTTTAAATTACAATATACATTATCACAGTTAGGATTCAAAACTTGAAGTATAACAAGAACAAAATTGAACAATCCCAATATACATATCACAAAGCAAGAGATCTTTTTAACTGAGTTAAAGTTATATTGAAAATATCAAAATCGCATTCATTTAATAACTCTATGTATCTATCCAATTTGTTGTGAATACCATAGGTTATTCTGTGGAAAGGAATATTGAAATCATTGTGGTACCCATAGAGCTTGATTTGGAACATTAAAGTTAATCTGGCTTAACAGGTTTCGACAATCAATAAATCCATGTATGATCTTTATATAAATATAGCTCCTGATATGTCAAGACGGTTCTTGAGTGAGGATAAAGATAATTGTTGTTAGATATGGAAATAATCATGATTTTCAATAGTAGTGTGGACATGGTAAGCACAAAATCTCCAAAATTTATGCTGGACTCTTTCAATGGTATCAATATTGTTTTGAAAATAGGGTGACCAAATAACTGAACAGTATTCCAAAATAGTTCTAAATAAGCAACAATACACTAACCTTGTTGAATTAATGGAGAAATACTTGCAATTCCTAGTAACGAAACCAAGAAGTTTAGATGCCTTTATTGAAATAGAGTTGATTTGGTGAGTGGTGATCTATATGATCAAATACTTTGAAAAAATCTCTGTATATTGCACCTACCTGTTTACAGTGGATTTTTTGCTATGAAAACCATGTTGCGATTGACATATTAAGCCTTTATATAACCAAGAAAGTTTCTTTGCTATAAGACTGTCGAAGAGCTTAGGGATTGCAGATTGTATACAAATGCTACGATAATTTTCAATGTTATCTTTCGTACCATTTTTAAATATAGGAACAACATAACTTCCTGTCCATGAACAAGGAAACACAGAGGTTTCCAGAGATCTATTAAACTATATAACAAATGGTATTACAAGGGTACAGACACACTTTTTTAATAAAAAATTAGGCACACCAACTGGACCAGCAGTAAGCTTATTGGGCAGCTCGTTTATGCCATTAAAAATATCAGTCATGCTAATCTTACGACAAATATTTATACTAAAGTTGGTATTTAATGGATGGATAGGTATGTAAAGGTTATTGTTATTTGGTGAATACACAGTTTGGAAAAAGTTCATAAATAAATTAGCTATGTCTTGACCATTTGTTGCAGATTGGACTTGATAAAATAATGAGTTAGGTAGGTTATGACTAGACCGCTTATACCTTTAATGTAGTTGCTGAAGCAAATTTCAGACAGTTTTTTACATTCAGCTCTTAATTACTATTTATAACTGGGAATAAGCCACAATTATAGATAAAAAATACGTTTATTGACGTTTCAATTTCCAATTCGGAAATCGTTCTCAAAATACAAACAGTGTTTGTATTTTGAGAACGATTTCCGAATTGGAAATTGAAACGTCAATAAACGTATTTTTTATCTATAATTGTGGCTTATTCCCAGTTATAAATAGTAATTAATTTACAATGCCACAAGAAAATAGCTTCAGAACAATATTCAGCTCTTAGGTGGGAAAATCTAATATAGTCATCATCAGTACAATTTAACATAAATATAGTGATCATATTTTTTCTCCAGAGTTAGTCTTTAAGTTTAGTTAGTCTTCTAACAATATTAAAGTGAATTTATTTTAAAATGTTTTATCTCACACATTTTTGTGTTGAAACATTCATTTTTTTTAAAAAGTAATATTAAATCTGTTTGGAATAAATTGATAATTTGTTTGATTATAATAAATAGGATACATTTTGAGTACAAACATTTTTATTTCAGGCTGCAAAATGGGAATGGAAAAAGCTGAAACCAAAAGAACCAAAAATTGGCGATCCACCTTGCCCACGGTTAGGGCATAGTTTTACTATAGTAAATTCAAAAGTGTACCTGTTTGGTGGTTTAGCAAATGATAGTGCAGACCCCAAAAATAATATTCCAAGATATTTGAATGACCTTTATACATTAGATATTAGAAGTAATCCTATGCAATGGGATGTTCCCCAAACAAATGGACCTTCTCCCACCCCAAGAGAATCTCATACTGGTGTAGCATATGTTGATAAAAAACAGAGGCGCTCATTTTTAATCATATATGGAGGTATGAGTGGATGCAGGTTAGGAGATTTGTGGTTTCTGGAAACAGAAACAATGACCTGGATGAAACCACAAGTTTCAGGCATTACACCTCTGCCTAGATCTCTACACACATCCACAATAATTGGCCATAGAATGTTTGTTTTTGGGGGATGGGTTCCTACAGTTTCTACAGAAGTTAAATCATCTCAAGAATGGAAGTGTACAAGTACCTTAGCATGCCTCAATCTGGAGACAATGAGTTGGGATGAATTAAATATACAAAAAGAGTCTGAAAATGATCTACCTTGTGCCAGAGCAGGACACTGTGCAGTTGGAATTAGTACACGACTCTATATTTGGTCTGGTCGAGATGGATATAGGAAAGCCTGGAAAAATCAGGTAATAACTTCCAGAATTTACATTTCAAATTGTTAATGAATCATATTGTATCATAAATATATTCAATATAATTAATTGTTTATAGGTATGTTGTAAAGACTTGTGGTATCTAGATGTGGATAAACCTCCTGCTCCTAGTCGTGTATCTTTAGTTAAAGCAGGAACACACAACCTTGAAGTCAATTGGACTGGAGCATTATCTGTTCAAACATACATTCTACAGGTAATACATTTATATTTATTGACAAATTGTCATATTTTCCACATTCACAGCAACAAAAATTGTCCATTTAAAATTAGTCTCAAACTGTGGGTTGATTTGTTCCTAAATAGCTGATTCAGTTAATATCCCTTCAATAATTTTATTTAGTAATAAGTTATCCATATAAAGATTTACTGTTTAAAAACAGAGCAAATGATGATCTTCTTATACCTAATCTCCATTCTTACTCTCTTCTTTTTCTACCTAATAACATTTTTCTCTTTTCAGATTCTATTTGCAATCCCTTTTCTTGATATTTTTTAAGGTAGGAAACAGTTTCTCAGTATATTTGTTAGGTTAGGGTTAGTTTCAATATGAGTGGGTGCTTAACCACTCTTCCACTAGGCCATCTTGGAGGTCAATTGTATGTTTTTACATTTCCGCTTGATCTAACTGAACTGTCCACATTTATTTAGCATATGGTGTTTGGAAGTCAAGATATTTGTTATCACTGGGCAGGTTCCTAGGATCTATGTTTTACATAATATATTACAAAGTCTAACATTTCTTTTTTGAAAGAGAAAAGAAGGAAAATTATTTTTGCTTCTTTTGAAACCATTTAAAAGTAACCTTTTTACTAAAAGGGTTATGTTAAAAGTTAAGATTAAAAAAATGGTATTCAGTGGTTTTTAAGGTGGTCTGGCAAATGTGCAATTATTTGATTCTATATATTACGAGTTGGTTTGTATTTATATTTGAATGAACATTTCCCTGGAATTTTGTAATGTTATATCAGGTTAGGTTAGATTTTAAAATGAGTGCGGTTAACCACCCTTCCACTCTATCTAAGAGGTGATTTGTGGCTGATCGCTAGGTTAACGTCCTTTCAGCTCAGCCTTTGTATGAAAATATATTTTGACCTTTGTTGACACTTCTACAAAGGGCTCGAGTTGATAATAAATAATGAGACTTTCCTATCCAATCCTGAAAAATTGCACAGAAAGTGTTCAGCCCTCTTGTCTTCAGCCTGACAAAATCTGAAAACTGCACTTTCTGTCAGTCTGATTTTATTTTATCTGTTCCACCCATTTTGATATTATTCTTTTCACTGTGCATCTTGACAACAAGGTCGAAATATGTGCTCGTATAGAATATGCTAGGTCCGCATTTCAACAAATGGAAAAATTCCTAATAAACTCTAGGTTATCGTTGGATATCTGATACCAATTTGTAAAAAACGTTTATTTATTCCATATTGCTATACAGAGTGGAAACATAGACTCTCGGAATTACAATTATGAGGCGTATAGAAGCCTTTGAGATGTGAGTTTTTCAAAGGATGCTGAAGATCTCTTGGACAGAGCATGTTACCAACAACTAGGTGCTAAGAAGAATGGGTACTGAGAGAGAACTCCCAAATATTGTAAAAAACAGAAAAACGAGTTATCTAGGACAGATTTACAGTTGAGAAAAATACAACTTCTAACAACTTTTAATGCAAGGGCAAGTGGAAGGAAGAAGAGGTCCTGTAGTTATAGCCAACCTTCAGTAAAGGAGAAACCTTAAGAAGAAGATGCATTGTCTCTATCTTTTAGAGATGTATTGACTTTACAGGCGTTCATTGAAACATGTCTCCTTAAAAAAGTCATTTTTTGCAAATCTTTATAAAACGGATTCAGGTTTTATTAATTACTATTATATAATTAAGTTACAGTTCTTACACCAAAAACTTTTATATTTGTATAATATAAATCTTCTGGTTCTTAACAAGTGGATCATTCTTTTTATAGATACAAAAATATGATTTACCTCCACCAGCCGCAGCCAAAATCCCAGCAACTGTAACACCTGCGGTCCCATCATTGGTGACTTCATCAAAGGCAACTGTTCCCATTCAAACCAGTGTACATGCCACTCAACCCACTCCAGCTATTAAAACAACTGCAAGTGCTAATCATATTATTTCTCCCCGAATTATTTCATCCATTGGTACAAAAGGTAAGGAATACACATTAATAGAAAAACATTTTTATAAAGTAGTTGCGTAAGTTCTCTATTTATACTAGAATTAGAGAAACCATTTTCTGTTCCTTTCATGTCGGGTCAATACACCCAAATTATGATAAACAAAAGTTTTGTTGTGATGCTGTTAAAGGTGTTTATGCATGTGATAATGCAATTGAAGTTTAGATAAGTTAGTATGCCATGTAAAAATGCCATTTATAGGCATTTTTATTATTATTTTATATATTAGGTATTATTTTCTATAAACTTTTGATAATTATGCAAATTACATCCAATATTTTAAGCATATTAATTAACTGATTAATAATTAACGTTTTTCTTTAAAAAATTTCACAACATCTAAGCTTGTCCTAAAGTTGTTGTTTCCTTAAATTCTTAAAATAAACGAGAGTTAATATTAATTTAGTTAAAAGTTATCAATAAGTATGTGAAAACTGTTTTACTGTTTTCCTCACTTCAATTTTTAATTTCTTTCAGTGATCTAAAATGATGTTCTTTTAAAATGTATGAAACCCAGCGAATGTATCTATATCAATTTGATTTCATTTAATGTTTTTAGAGAACTTTTTCATTCATAAATTATTTATCATTCATATTTTTTCTTAGGGCCACAAGTGAAGATTCAAGGTACAGCAGGAACTATTATCAGACAAAGTAGTCCTCAGGTAGCAGGCAAGCAGTTGATAGTAAAACAAGGAGGCAATATTATTCAAAAAGGAGGAGTTGCACAGCAAGTTGTGACCTTTGTTAAAACTAGTACAGGTAAGTTGGACCTATAACTGCTTTGAAATACTATTCAAAATGATTTGAATAGGCATTCGCCTTAAATTAGCCTAATGAGCCACACTCTTAAAATTTTTCTCAGAATACTTCACATCTATATTGTTATACCACTTTGTAGTCAAATTGTATCTAAAAGTTAAAAAAAAACGCTAATAACAGTTAGATATTAATACAGTAATAAATAATTAATGTTTAATCAAGTTTCTTTCTACAGGCATGACGTTGGCGGCACTGCCAAAAGGAGGCAATATTGTTCAGGCAAAAACAAATGTTTTACCCCAAACACCCAAAAATACTATTGTAAAAATTGTACCTAGTACCCCAGCCAATAAAGTTCTAACAACCATAAAGACAATACCATACCAAATGAATAAAGCAACTGGAAAATTAGTTCCTTTTAAAGCAACAGGGCAAATGCCTACACTGGGTAAGTATGTTTCTTATATTAGTTTTCTATTAAATAATCGTTAATCGTTTTTAAGGACAAAAATATCAAATGTTTGCTCTGATTTCTATCTATTGTATAAGCAGCTGTTTGTTTTACTTATTTTTTACCGTACATAAGATGCCTTATTTCATCGTCAGCATAAGTTTTTGTGATAAATGGAATTTTTTTTAGTAGAATTCATTGCCGATTTTGTTTGTATTTGCTGTGTGGTTTCCACCTAATTAGACTTTTCTATATTTACTTGCCAGGGGATCATTTTTCCTTTAAATATAATAATAATTGTCGATGTACAGATTTTTTCTTTCCCATTTTTTGTGTTCGTTCTTTTAATAACTTTGTTTACTACTATTACCTTCACTAATCTGTAGGAATACATTATATGGACCGACATCAGATGAAGAATAAAAATTAATTGCCCTTATGGATATAATAATACTGTATGTACCCCTGTTAAATTATTATGTGAATTGTTTAAATTTTTGTGTCTACCTAATTAATGAAATGTGGTCTTTTATTCATATTATTTTTCCTATCTCTAATCATAATTTCTGCATTTTTCTGATTCATATTATTTTTTCCTGTATCTATTTAGTGGATCACTTTTAACAATTTTTAAGACTAGACACTTTTTAAAAATACTATTCACCAATCAGTTTGTGTTTGAAACGTAATTAAGATTGCTTGATATACGAATTGTTTATAATCAACATTTGTTTGTGATTTTCAGGCAATCAGCAAGTTTTGGTTGTGAATTCAAATGCAGGTTTGAAAACTATACAAACTTTAACAAATGCACAATCTGTAAATTTAAATAATGTAAAAACTACTTCTATAAATGCCCAACCAGTAGTAACTGCCTCATCTTTAACCAGTTTACAAGGTATGAAGATTGCTGGAAAACCCATTACCATATCAATGCCTATGCAAGTTGTTGGATCTCCTAAGACTGTTACGCTGTCAAAAAATACAGTAAGTATCATAGTTTTTACAAATATATTTAAAGATCGTCAATACTTCGTCATGTATTTGTTCGTACATACAATTCGTCTTCAGAGAAAATATCAAACTATGTCTAGTATTTTGTGACTAAATAATATAAAAAAATGCCATGCCAAATAAAAATTAAGCTATCGATATGCTTGTCAAAGTTCTTCAGAAAGTAACAAATTATTATCATTAGAATTAATTATTATCATTATTAGAATGTACAGAAAACCTTCTGAGAATGATTTTTTTTTTTAGAAACAGGTAATGATAGGTGGGAAACCAGTAACTGTACAGATGGCGACAGGCGGTAACAAAACACTGACCTTGGTTCAACCCAACCAATCTGCAGCAGTAGGCAAGATCGTACGACTACCAATTAATTCGACAATAAATCACTCTAATAACAGTGGTGAACAACCAAAGCTAATGGTAGTTTCTCGACCAAAACAACCAACTGCAACCTTAGGTAAGTCTTTTAAATATATTTTGTTAATTGTGTAATAAAAATGTAAACACATGCGAAAATCTGAAGTGTTTTGATTTGATACTAGCCTCAACTTCCTTTGATAGTCCAGCCACAACAGATGCAGCACTTGCTGCCATAGCAGCAGAAGCTGGTCTAATAGATCCTGAACCTGAAAAAGGAGGGGTAGTAAAACTAGATGGTGGTGAAGGTACACAAACAATAGTTCTTTCCCAAGGAAGCAGCCCATCCGATGTTTCTCCTCAAATAGAAGTTGCAACAGGTCTCATAGGAGGAGGTTCTATTGTGCAACAACTTGGATTGAAAGGGGGTTCTAGATTGCATAGGCCGCCAAAATGTTTTAGGTAAGGGGGTTATTAATTGTATTAAAATTTGGATAATGTAAATATTTTGTTGTAGGTATCGTTTAGGGTTGTATGGAGGTGGAAAAGATGATGTAGATGATACGAAACCTTCAACTACGACAGCTGAAGCTGATTCTACACAAGCTACCTCCACAGAACTGTTGCACACTTCAACTGCTGAAAATGTAAAAATGGACTGGGAACCCGAATTAATACCTAAAGATGCTGGAGAAACCTTGGACTCTAGAGTAAAACCTGACTCTGAAACAGTATCAGAAGCTGAAGCAAAGTCAAATGAAACAGAAAAATGTGAGGAAAATCCAGAAACTGATGTAGAAACAGATGTTAGGATGAGATTAGAACCTGAAGAAAAATCAAATGATGAAGACAAATTAGAAGCCGAGGAAAGGCCACAAAGCGAAGATAGACTGGAAGACAAGGAAAGAGTAGAAAATGAAGACAAATTGGAAGCAGAAGAAAGAATAGACAGTGAAGATAAATTACAAGCTGAGGAAAGATCAGAAAGTGAAGACAATATGGAATCAGAGGAACCACCAGGTAGTGAAGTCAAAATGGATGCAGAAGAAAGATCAGAAACTGAAGCCAAATTGGAATCTGACGTTACCGAGACGTCAGATATCAAAAAATTACCAGAAGAAAATCAAACAAAATCGGACATAGATGTAACTGCAAAACAAGGGACAGGAAGCAATAGTAAATTTGATATAAATGAGAAGAGTTCCGATGATACCGTGAAGATGGAAACAGATAGTAAAAGGGAACAATCAGCTGATACAAACTATCACAATTACCATAGTCAAAGTAGTGACATCTTAAAAACAGATGAAATGACCCCTAACGATGATCCTTTAGCTGCATTAGCTTCTGCTGCTTTGGATCATTCTAAAGAGTTAAAAAAGACTGAAAATAATGTTCATGGTCCTGAACAGCCTCTCAAAGACACTTGGTATACCGTTCGCTTCATTAGGGGTAATAGTTGTGATGTACGAAGTTATTTTTTGTTAAATGACGAGACCGCTGATCTGACGTTGGACACTTTGCCTTATACCTTAAATTATCCTTCAGGGTTTAGCCTTGAACCAGGCACGGCTTACAAGTTCAGAGTAGCTGCTATCAACTCCTTAGGCCGAAGTGATTGGAGTGAGGTAGGTTATTATCTGATCTTTTATTTTTGATAGTAAGTAATTACTTAAAACTTATTAACTTTTTGACTGCCACTCACACACATAATCTTAATATGCTAGCGGAATATTAATTACATAAAATGTACCGGAGAGGGAAATTCTCTCATTGTCTCTCTGGTTTCTGAACATAATGTAGCTTTGTCTATTTTAAAATTTTTAAAATAGTTGTCCTTGTGAAGTGTAGTGTGGTGTACAATTTTATGTTTATACCATTTTATTTTTGTTGGATAAGCCAAAATTGACGAAATGTCCCTAAAGATCATCTAGGAAGTGAAAGTACTTGGGCAAGATTCTGTTTTATCTCCTTTTTGTCTAATGGGCAAATAATTGCTTCCTTCCAATCTTCTGGTATTCGTTATTTTATCCATCTCTCCTTTATGATCTTGTATATCAAATTATTTAGCAGTTTTCTCCATCATATTTCATAATCTCTGCTGTTATGTTATCGCTTCCAGGGCATTTATTGTTTTTCCAGATTTTTTTATGATTTCCTCGATTTGTTCTTTGCTGGGTGAATTATCTTCTATGTCTTCTAAGTGTTCGATTCTTGCTTCTCCATACATTCTCTTTGGTTTAACTTATTATTGCCATTTAGTAATTCATCAAAATACTCTTTCCATCTTTCGACTATTTCTGCTTCGCCGCTTATATTATTTCCTGCTTTGTTTTTAACGAATATGGGTTTTTGTTGGAAACCTCTTTTTATTTCTAGCATTTCTTTATTTCTGTAATTCTGTTCTATTTTTTTTTTTAGCTTATTTTCAACGTGTTTTCTTTTGTCTCAGTACCCTCTTTACTTTTTCTCCATATCTATTCTTTGTCTCTGCTGTTTCTTTCGTGATCATTTCCATCCTTAATGATTTTCTTAGTTCTATTTCTTTTTAGCACTCTATGTCGAACCAATCTTTCCTCTTTTTATCTTGTTTAATACATTCTTTTGCTGCTTTGTTCTTCTATTTGTATCTTTTTTAGTTCTCTTTCCATTGTTTCCTCGTACATTTCTTGCTCTTTCTTTGTTGCTAATGATCAAAGTTCAGTTTTAAATATTCAAATAAGAACCCAGTACACAATATTGTATCTAAGTGATGTGAATTAAACCTTCATATTTTGATATGAATGTTTCAGTTAAAATATTTACACATATGTATGAATCATCCTGTATATGGACAGAATCATGTGAAACTGACTCGAACCTATAATTATTTTCATTTAACTAAATCATATTCGTATATGTCTTTTATTTGAGTCTAATTTTTTTTCGTTTATGCAGGTATCAGCGTTTAAAACTTGTCTACCAGGTTTTCCAGGTGCTCCTTCCGCAATCAAAATAACAAAATCAGTTGATGGCGCAAATCTTTCTTGGGAACCCCCTAGCGCAAATCAGGGCGAAATATTAGAATATTCAGTTTATTTGGCTGTGAGAGCAAAGGTAAGTCTTGGATATACATAGTACATAATATGCAATACAAGAATAATATTGTTTACAGGATAAGGTTAATACCAATCCTGGCCAACTCGCCTTTGTAAGGGTTTACTGCGGCCCGAATAATAAGTGTGTTGTAAGTAATTCATCTTTATCTGCCGCCCACCTAGACACAACTACGAAAACAGCGATAATCTTCCGTATTGCTGCTAAAAATGAAAAAGGTTACGGTCCTGCTACCCAAGTTAGGTGGTTGCAAGGTAAGTTATTTATTGATATTTTAAGATATACTGTGCTTTAGATCTCATCCCTAATTCTTCTCCAACAGTATTTCGATATAAGCCAATAACTAGAAGTTATATGACCTGGTACTGAGTACTTCATTGTGATACTGCTTACCTCGGGATGTTCTTTCAATGCATCCATCACACAATTCTTCCAAAACTCTGTCTAAATTTTTTCTGAAAGCACTGGCCAATACAGTTCCCTTTCTTCCTTGTTTGGTTTCGGTCCATATCGCACAGTAGACTGTTTTTATTTCAGTTAGAACTCTGTTAACTGATCAACATTTAAAATTCTCTGAGATAGAACCCTGTAACATTCTTATTTCAGCCACCTGTTAATAGATGTCAGTGCTAGTATCATTTTATGGTGAATAACATCAAATAGAACCATTTTACATAAAAATCTTAGTTTTGAAAAAAATGACATACATAGAACCTTGTTATTCTGACGCAACGAAATACAATAAAAAATACAACAAATTATTTTTAGTAGATGTTTTATCTAATAAATATTCTTTTCAGATCCATCGTCCAAATCAAAGCGTCTTGCAGAATCCCAACCATTAGCTGTTAAAAAAATAAAGTATGAAAAAGAAGTGTAAAAATATAGAACAATGTGTGAATGTGGTAAAAATATAAATGTTGATAAATTGAAAGTTAAGTGTTCGGATTCGCAATCGAAAAAATACCTCTTCTCGAGTATAAATAAACTGCTTGAGGTTTTTTACTTCAAAAACCTCAGTGAAAGTCGTTTAAGGTAGTATTAAAAAATTTTAATTTTTGACATAGAGTTTTATTTACTTTTTGTTACATGTGGACTTTTATTATATATTGCCGACTTCTGTGTAATAAGATGGAAAAATGTATAAATGACAGCCTCATTGAATGCTACGTGTGCCCGATTTTTCTCATATTTACGTTGGTGTCTGTGACACCAATGTGAAACAATGTAAAGCTATTCATTATGTATTATTTGTAGTATACAAATACAAATATGGCATATAAGGTGCTTAGGATATTTTAAATATACTTTTAATTAAACCGTTTCGTTTCTGTAATAACTGTCTTTCGATCAAGCAATGTATGTTTATGATTAACAGTAAAAATATTTTGACAAATGACGGCAAATACAAGATAATATTTCTTGTTATACCATGTGGTCCATATGTAAGGAACAAATTTATTTTTAGCGTTATTATGTACTATGTGAACAAAACCTTTAAACAGGTCGATTTTTATTCTTAAATTGACAATTTACAGTATGAAAATATTATACCCCTCCAACACCCTTGAATTGTAAGCACCTCCTCGAAAATGTTTAATAACAAAGAGGGTCGTATGGCACCTTGTTAGAAAGGGATTTTAGTCCTCTGTTCAGCAATATAAAGTTTTTTAATTATAGTTTATTCGTCTTCCGGGTTTGGACCATGTCATTTGTGAGTGACCCAAAAGTGGGTTCATCTCGACGTTTCGCTACAATTGTATGTAGCTTCTTCAGGAGAACAAAGAAAAAGAAATCAAAAGACAGGAAGATGGGTAGTTAGCAACGGTAACTCAGTTACTCAACGCAACCAGAAGCGAATACTAAATACCAAGATGGGCATTTGGTCACAGTAACTCAACTATTTAACGCAGCCAGAGGTGAAAACCAAATGCCAGGACAGGGATTCACGTCCAACAGCTCAGAACACTAACGCCTCGAGAGGCGGGGAGTGAATCCGACGATTACTCCGCTACCGCTCTATTTATAGTCGCAGTGACCTGTCGTGTCGGGACGTATCGGTCTTACTTTACAATTAAATAAAATGTTCCAAATGACCACCATTCACTTCTTGATAATAACCGAGGCGATTTTGGAATGGACCACAGGAGTGATTACGTAAATTTTATTGACATCTGTCAGTTTCACTTTCCAAACAAACCTTGTTTAGTGTGGATAATTTGTATTTTTTCGTTTTTTTTTTTTAATAGAATCTTTTCGCTTTTTGCAATATTTAAGTATTCTAATAGTTACTAAAATAAGTTTAGAAGGTTGTGTAAATAAAGTAAGGTTAGAGTTTCTTTAATTTAAACTTTTAAACTATATTTCATATAAATAGAACTCTGAATTATGCTGGTATTATCGTAAAAAACACTATACTTGCAAGAAAAAGCAACAGAGGAAGCAAAATGTTAATTTTATAGAAATGAAAAAGTCTTGAGATGGACATTTCAACTTTTGTTTGGAAAGTAATAATGACAATGTGACAGTCGTGACGTCACACTCCTGCTGTCCATTCTCGTACAACATTTTATACGACCTCGGGCATATTTTGTTAATTTCTTCCATTATCCTAACTTTTAAATGAGCAATACTGTTTGGTCTATTAAAATATACTTTAGATTTTATATAACCACAAGAAGTAACCGAGAGGAGTCAAATCGGGTATCTAGCCGGCGATTCGATCGTTCCACGCCTTCCAATCTACCTATTGGGAAAAATTTCGTTTAAATAATTTCTAACTATACCTGCAAAATGCGGTGGAGCTCCGTCTTGTTCAATGTGTTCAATTTGTTCTTGGAACAAATTAAAAAATAAGCCCCAACGTCATACAAAACGTCGTACGAGAATTTCAAAATCGTCTCGGTTATTGTCAAGAATAATGGTGCCACACGACCCCTTTTGTTACTTAAAATTTTTGAGGGAGTGCTGGAGGGGAATAATATTTTCATACTGTAAATTGTCAATTTAAGACTAAAAATCAACCTGTTTCAGGTTTTTTTCACATAGTACATAATAACGCTAAAAATTAATTTATTCCATACATATGGATCAGATGGTATTTACATGTAATTTTCTATGTTAGTGACTATCTTATTTATATTGAATTGAATTAATCAATTTCTTCGTTATAATTACTTAATATTATTATTTGTAAAACTTCTTGGTTTTGACTACATGTCTGTAAACTATTCCTCTTCTTTGTTTTCAAATTTCTTATATATGTAAATAAATTATAAAGGCTGATTTATAAACTTTACGTTGGCGGTGGCGCTGGCGTTTGCCGTTGACCTTGGCGCTAGCTATCATACACTGCATTTATAAACTTTCGGTTGGCGTTGGCGTTAAAGATCACATCTTAATTTCTTGCCTTACAATTTTTGATTTGGTATTATTAATTTTTGCTTGAAAATTAATACAATGGAAAATGCTCGGCCTTTGTTAGGTGCAGTGACACTGATACTTTGTATTCGAGCAGCACTGAGCCTTCGAAATAAAAGACAACGTCGTTACAAACGGAGGCCCATTAACCAGAACAGAAAGACAAGAGGTAATTTTAATTATTATAAAAATATGAAAATCTCGGATACCCAGCAGTTTTTTAAATACACCAGGATACAGTTTCCAGCATTTGAAAAATTACTGCAAATGGTAAAACCAAAAATAAATGTAAACTATCGCTCTGATGGAATTTCTGTTAAAGAGAGGCTTGTTATTATCTAAACTTTTTCACTTTATAAACACGTAGAAACATACACAAATAATTTTGTTTGATATCTTTGACAAACCTTGTCACTTTTCGATATTGCTATTGGCTGCGATGACAAAGATACAGTTTTATTTTATGTTCTGAGATCGTGACTACAACCACAGAAGGGTTTGTGTATTCTGTGCTACAACGGCCAACGGCAAAAGATAAAGTTGGTTCATCTTGAACGGAACCGAACGCCGACGCAAACGGCAAACGATATTTATAAATAGACATACGAGTTTTCCATTTGACCATGTTGTAACGCGAACGTCAGCGCCAGCGCTAACGCCAACGTAAAGTTTATAAATCAGCCTTAACACTATAATAAAATATTAGATTTGAATCATTTGCGAACTATTTTCTTCCGATTTTATTATTACCTTTAAGGGATGAGTTTACGGAAAGTACAAGCTGAATATAGCCGCAAATGTCAACTATGAAATACAATATTTAGGTTTGGCAGTGTTGGGATGTTATTATAATGCATATGTTGTATGCTTCAAATATAAAGAGAGAAAGCTTTTAAAAATTACATTTTGATTATACTATTTTTTTTATTTATATGAAACAATAACGAGTAAATATTTGTCTCTTTCGAGATTAATTGCAAACATCTGTTTCAATCTGGCAACCATTGATTTAACAATTGAAAAATCTATCCCCTGATCTACTAAAGGGTAATTGCCAAAAAAAAGTTCTAATAATTAACTGCAATTAATCTCCAAAGAAACAAATGTTTACTCATTCTTGTTTTATATGAATCAAAAATTGCAGAACTCATAACATAATATTATCAAAATGTACTTTGCTGAAGCTTTATCTCTTTATATTTGTATCATACAGCATATACATTATAAAAACATGCCAACACTGTTAAACCGAAATTTTTTGTTCCATGTTTGTCATTTGCGGTTATAATCAGCTTGAACTTTCGGTAAACTCAATCCCTTTAAGTTTCTCTTATGTAAGAATATTTCACCATCTTTGGTTAGTGTAATTTTTTCTATGAATCTTTATTTTGACCACCGATTTAGCTCATTCCAACATATCATGGTTTTATTTTTGACACTTTACATTCCTGATAGTTATGTTAGTTTACTTGGTGGTTGATTAAAACTTAATATCTTTCTGTGTACATAAAATAGAAATAAATTCTATGAAGATTAACGACAGCAAAGTACTTTTCTCGCGTACTTTTTGTATGCTCTTTTCTAAAATTGTATAATTTTTGTTCAGGGTTAATCTATTAATAAGATATGGGTAGTAGGATCTCGAAATTTTGAAGTGATATGGTTTCAAACTTTTACAAAAATATTTTTGCTGTTTTTATTTATATCCAAATTGGAATATTCATTGAGTGCATTGCTTGATCTTAATTTTCATATAGCCAACAAACACGACACCGTCTTTATTTCAGATAGATTTATTATATTTATATATACTTATTTGCATTATCTATCATGTTTTATTTATGTTTTATTCGACATTGGATTTTATGGAAATTTGCGCAACTACAGTGTTTTAAACTACTATTTTTCTACGGCATAGGTCTTAGTTCAGATTATTTAATATATTATTTTTAAAACTGAGTTTGGATGAGAATTACGTAATTTGTTTATAGCAATTAAAACTCGTACAATTTTCCGGTAATATATATTATAAGCCTCGTCTCAGCGAACTTACTCCAAGAATCTATAATGCGAAATTTTCTACTTTACATTATACTAACCTAAACTATTATTTTGCATTCCTGGAATATTTTTAAATATTTGCTATTTGTACTTGCTTTAAAAGCTGGCTTTTAATAATAAAATATTTTGGTTTTAACAAAATACAAACTCAAAATGTGCTCGTCTCTATTTCGAAATCAAGTGGATTTAGTGTTCAATACAATTAGTCTTATATGCTGTAATTTTACATTGGCTTAATTTTTATAAATTAAGTGTATAAATTTGGATCAACCCCGATTTTTGACATTTACATCGACTGCGTATTATTTTTCTATCATCTATTTCGGAGCCAAATTTGCCAATTCGTCATTTATTATCAATTCTATGTCCTTTGTTAATGTTTTTCTAATTTTATTAAAAATTTAGTTTTATGTATTAATAAATTAATTTTATTACATTCTCGTTTAAAGTGTCATAATTTATTTGAAAAAATACATAATATTTTCATTACTTATATTTATTACCAATATATGTAGGTACCACAAAAAAATATTTCAGTTTACTATGATGCAAAGTAGAAATTTGTATGTTTTAGGTAGTT